TTTTCTATTTCTTCGAACGAAAAAAATTCAAAAAAATTGGTAATGACTTCATGGTGTTCTAGAAAGAAATCTAAATTATAAAATGTAAAAGTATAGTGTAAAGTGTATACATTAATGTTTTGAAATATTTTGGAATATATTTTTGTGTTTTTATTTTATGAACTGTGCGCTATATAAATACGGGATGTAGAGTAATCTTTGCACTCCAATGTTTTACGTATTAAATTCACCTTGAGTTTTCTCTTAGAAATTAATTGCAGAAAAAAGCAAACCGAGTTCATCTTTAAGTTGAGATATTAGGCAAGCATCGACTTCATAAGCAGTTTGACCGTTCTGACTAAATTTAGATACATAATTTTTAGTCCGCTCGAAAAGTAAGGTAAACTAATCAAAAAAGAAACACGTATAAAAGATGGAAACTTCGAGAAAAAACTGCAATTTGCTATACTTGATACTTTTATTATCTAGATTAAACAATGGTTGAATATTACCGAATTATGACTGATCTAACAGAGATGTTAAGTTTCGCTATAATTCTACATAAAAAGAGTAATAATACTTCACCGAAATCTATCACCGCATCGAAAAATCTTTCTTTTTTAAATAACAAATATACCTTGTTCGGTTTTTAGCGTTTTGTTCAGCAATTCGTTCTTTACCTAATTCCGTTTCCAAAAATTTATACTGCTGAAGTAATTTTTGATAATTGTTCGACAACTAAAATCAGAAAACTTTTCATTTCCTGCAAAATTAAGGGAACTATATTGATGCCTAAATTTATTTGAAAGGAAACTACGGAAATAAAACCTGAAAAACAATCAAGGATTTAAAACTTACATCACTATTTTCATTCTTCAGAGCACTTTCCATCGCCTTATTCCTCTCTTTCTCCATTTCCAATGCAAGCGAGAGCTTCTGAAAAGAACAAAAAATATACTGTTCTAAAAAAATAAAAAGTGGAATCAAAAAAATTAAAAAATAAGAATAGCAAAAAATAAATTGCTTTGTTCAAAACATAAAAATGCATTCTGCAACAAAAAAAAAGCCAAAATTATAATATTACCCGACTAAAATGCTGAATCCCAAGTCCAATTAAAATAACCAAATTTCAAACCAGAGACCTAAGCTGTTACTGACACAAAACACGAAGAATGCATAACTCAAAATGAATCTTTACTATACTACTCGGTTGTTGAAAAGTGAGGAGGATAAACTGCGGATCTGCATAGTCACTTTTCAGTCACTGACCACAAAAGCCCTTCTCAATTAAACTACCAATGTTAAATATAGCTGTTTACCTGAATTTCTTCCGCATCCGTTATTTTTTGCTTCAACCCATTTGAATCACTCCTGTCAGTATTCGTAAAACCGGTGAAATCCATTTGTTTCCCATTCAACCTGGAATGAAACTGTGAAATGCAAATTATACAGTCAATAAAGGATATTTCTGGCTTGACACTTCTAAAACAGAAACTACACAAAGGTATCGAACGAAACATGTATTTTTTAAAAATATGAAAACGTTCTCTCTAAGCAATTCAGCAAAAAACAATTTTCACATACTCAGACAATGAAAAGCAAAATTAAAAATTAACATTCTGTTCCAACTTTTCACTCGATTTCGGCAACACCCACAGTATGGATTGACATCGACTTCAAAAACTGCTGGAGTAGTTGCCGGGTGTCCGGTGCTGCAGAATGAAACATGATGTAACAAGCCATTGTTAATAAATTTTTTCTACAAATCCCTAAGAATCAATTTTTTCAACATTCAAATGAACCATTGTTTTGCTTACTGGAGAAAACATAAAAACAATACGATCTAAAACAGACTTATAAAATTTATGATGACTACGCACCCGGACCAGAATGCACCCACCTTTGTGGTTCGTTATGTACAGCATTATAATTTTCTTTATTTCCTTTCTCTAAACGATTTATTCGATCCAATAATTCGGCTCTCTCCTAAGAATAAAGAAATTCGCAAATTTTTTATTTTAAATTTTCAGTTCAAATAAATTTCAAGATTTAATAAGAAACTTTTTCAACATCAAAATCTTGAGAAATCAATACAGCACCAACC